CGCACCTTAGTCTCCAGAGAGACACTGTTGCTCCTGAGTACCTTTGAGAGGTCTCTAACAGCAGACTTTCCCATCACGATACGCTTTTTGATTTCCTGACTGCTGGTACCAAGAGTGTTGACTGTGGAGCCGAGCAAACTGGCTTTTATGCTTTTAGATGTGTTTCTATTTTTCATTGATTCCACTCATTGTGACTATGCATCAGATTTCCAAGACAACCCATATTTCTCCTTCAGAGCAGCTAGCTGGTGGATTAAAACTGCTGATTTTTCACTTAGTAGCTCGGCTCCTAATAACTGTGTCATCAGGACTCAATCTTTATGTTATATGATCTCTTTTAAGGTATAGCTTTCAGTTTTGCTGAATTCTTCTAAGACATTAATGCTCGCTTTGTAACAGATAGCAAGATAGGATTGGACACATATTTTTCACCAACTAAAAAAAAATCTCTTCTGCTAAAAATTTAACGGGTTAAATTTCCAAGTAATTTGATTTTTAAAAGACAATATTGTTTTTCAAAAGTTCTTCCTCTTTAGTTTGATTACTACTTTTTAAAAAAATTACTACCAGAGGGATAATATACACTTAAAAGTTGATATTTGTTGTTATGGACACAAAGATTGAACTGTCTCCCACAGAAATCAGAAACTAGTACTATGTATTTAAAAAAAAATTAATGTCTTCTTCCAATTTCAAGAAAGGATTTCAGAGTGAGAAATAATTCCAGAAACTTCTTTCTCACCTTTATCTTTGCATATAATTTGATAAATGGCATTTGAACAAGAGAAAGATTATAGATTAAGAAATATATGAGGTATTTCTCTTCCCCATTACTTCTAGTATACACTTCTAGAAGTTCACATAATATTTAGTGGTTACTTTTGTCCTTTTTTAAAGAAAAACTCATAGTTCACAAAGTCAATTGCTTCTTAAATGTTACAGGAAGTGTCCTTTTTTAAAAGGTTAACCTTATTTATAGTACACACACACACACACACACACACATACACACACACACGCACACACATTCCACTCCATTAAACCTTACCTTGGGTTGGGCCCTTGCACCATGAATTGCATACACTCTGTACTAGTGATCTTGTATGCTGGAAGATCTTGTTCAAGCCCGTAGCAGCTTCAGAGCATAATAGCGTGATATGAAGTGATAGAGAAAACAGGAGAAGCTTTGTCATTGAGTCAGCTGCAAGAAGAAGTAATGTGTATGAATGTACAGTATGGGGAGACCTATGAAAGATCCAGTCTCTTTCTCCCAAAGGACTCTGTTCCACGATACAAGGAGAATTCAGTTCTTTTTGGCAGACCTCCACAACAGTTTGGAAGCAGTGAAAACAGCCCCAAAACAAGCCTGGTTTCTCAATGTCTTTACTCTCAAGGTTTTAAATAACCTTTTTTTCTTCCTCTTTATTTTAATTTTATTTTTTTTATAACCAAGATTAAGCACCATTTTTTTATTATATTATTTGACTGCAGTGCCTGTCCACAGTTGGACTGTGGATGATAATGAATTAGAAAGCTGAGTTCAACCATATGTGCCCTGCTTGTCTGTTACTGCAAAACCTTGGAGGAAATAAAGGCCTTGTACCTCTTCATTGAGGACTGCATGGCTTTAAATTATATTACAACAAGAAGGACTTTGGGTCCCAGCAGATGATGGAATTAAGCATAGAAATAAGCATTATTAGATACTTCAGACTTTTAATACAGAGAAATTAGGTCACTTCCCCACTCCTCCCACAGACATTCAATCTTAATATCAAAGTAATGAAACAACACAGCCAGTGTTATCCATCCCCGGCACTAACAGAGAATGCCAGTTATGACAGGTTCATTGTTTACTTTAACAGGTAATTTGTGGACCGGAATCATTTAATTGTTCTGAGTACATAATTGCATGTCAGCAATTTCCAATTTAATTAAAATGTACAAACCTGAAGATTAAGGGAATTTTTGAATTATTAATCATTTTTCCACTAGGAAATCTTGTTGCTCTGCAGGAGATTTGTCCAGTGTACAACTATACGTATTTTTTTTCCTTCTCTTTCACAGACAGACAATTTTCCCGCAGAGCCCAATTACATGGGCAGCAGGCAGCAGTTTGTTCAAAGGTAAGGCCTGTTAAGTAACTTTCTCAGCTTCCCCATTTGCATTCCTGTCAAAATTGCTTTGCAAGAGGCTACACTTCAGATTCCAACTCGTAGAGACAACACTTTCTCTTTCTTTTTCTTTATATTTATTTCAGTAGCTCCACGTTTAAGGACCCAGAAAGAGCCAGCCTGAGAGACAGTGGGCACGGGGACAGTGATCAGGCTGACAGTGACCAAGACACTAACAAAGGCTCCTGCTGTGACATGTCTGTTAGGGAGGCACTCAAGATGAAAACTACTTCAACTAAAAGCCAACCACTTGAACAAGGTGAGTGAAGTCTTGCAATGCTTATCAACTGTAAATCTTAAGCAATCATTATATACCTATTAGTACTGGAGTTGCAGTTTATCACAATGGAATGGATCGTTGGTAATAAATCAAAAGAAACAGCAAATTCAGAGAATGTCCCAAAGGAAAAACAACTATTTGATATCCAAACAACAGAAAAATGAAAGGCCATGGTTATTAGTCTTTAATCTTCTTTAAATGATAACTTGACCAAAGTCTCCCAATTATTCTTACTTTTCTGGACATGACTTAATTTTCCATATTTTGTTTTATCCGTTAGTTAATGAACATTTTTTAAAAATTAATTTGTACTGTTGAAATGAATAAATTCCTCATTCAGTGAGATAAAAACTTGGTTGGAATTTTTTGACATTAGTGACTTGTTCTCTAAAATAATTTTTCAAGAGGGTCAAATAATAACCAACAATAAGATTTGGCTGCTTCTTTTAATTTACATCTTAGTTTTTATTGATATCAAATATATGTGAATTTGCTTACCTTAGTAGAGATGGTATTAAAATATATTTTAGTAAATGCAAGGATTTTTCCCCCTAAATGTTTATTTCATCTGTTTGGGCTGATATTTTACTAATTGTGTTGTTTGCATTAAAAGTGCTAACAATTCATTCAGAGAATTAATCTTTTCTTGTGTGTAAGATTTGGAGTATGAATAGATATTTTTATATCCTGTAGTAAAAATTTAAAAAGAACTTTTGTATAAATTGGATTTGAGAATTATAAGTGTCAATATAATTATATTTCTAGGACTATAAATAGTATTTCAATATATTGTTGTTGTTGATTACTTTCAAGTTGGGCACAACTCATAGTGACCCTATGAACAAAAGGCCTGAAAATTTTCTATAACTATTGATGTTTATCAAAGTTCATATTTATTAATTTATGTGTATTATTTTAGCTTCTTTTGAGTAAGAAGTTGTCTATTAAGTCATTTATTAAGTATTATATCATTGAAATTATATTTCTACCTACAATACATTTGTCATATATATACATAAACATATTTAATGCATACACATATTTATTCTCTACAGAATTATTATATGCTTATATATATGTTTCTGTATTCCATGGAATTATGCTTGGTTTATTTAAATAAGAAAAAAATTCCTTATTTTCTTAGTAATAAATAGCACAAAGATAATTTTCTGACCTTTCCAATAGACTTTACTTTTAATAATGCAATACTTTCTTTTAAAGTTATTTTTAATGGAAGCAATTTAGATATATGTCTAATATTTAAAATTTTTGCTAATTTATATGCCTAGATGCATTATTACTTAAATGATTTTTGTTGGGTTGTAGCTTTGGAAGAAAACTATTTTAGTAATATTTTAATAATGAGTTATTGGATCTTTATGAATAAATACTATGAGGAAGACAGTTTGTGTTTGTAAAACATATGGATCAAGCTATCACTTACTGGTTTCTATCTGTAAGGTTGCATAAAGAGTTTGAATTCCTTACTCACAAACAGAAACCTCCAAGTATAAACCATAAGCATAAATTAACTCTTTAATTAACTTTCATCCACTAATTGTTCAATATAATGGAGCTCTGATGACTTAGAGGTAAGGAGTTGTGTTGCCACCCAAAGGCACACAGTTCAAATCTACCAGCAGCTCCATGGAAGAAGGATGAAAAATCTCATCTGGGCTATTTACAGCCTCTGAAAATTCATGGAAGGGTCAGCTATGAGTTACTTTGGACTTGACTCTACATAATAACAACACTAAGAGGAGAAGGGAGGTCTGATGGCATAGTGTACAGGAAGTTGTGCTGGAGACCCAAAGGCCACACCTTTCTGCTATTGTGAACCCACTTAAAACCCGACCCTGCAGGTTCTGTCATTTCTGACTGAATGGCAATGAGCTGAATTGAGAGACAAAAAGAAGTAGCCTCATTTATTTTTGAAAATGTAATGTATATCGAAAAGTTATTATTCAGTTTTCATGCCAAACGCATTATCTTAGAAAGAGAACTATAGATTTTTTTAAAAGGCCCTTATTTAGCCATCATATGAAATAATATTACAGGAAAATAATTGTTTATCTCAGTTCAAGACTGAGAATAGAAAAATCTTTTATAGGAAAGTGTTGTAGAAAAATATTTCTTCCCATCTTGCTCTTCAAATGTATATTTAGAGAGAATTAATATGGAACTGGGGTCACAACTAGATAATCTGTGGAATATTTTAGAGAGAGACTGCAATCAGTTTTAAAAGATGAGCTTTAAAAATTAGCTGAAATAATATATTTCAGTGATGGATTGGTTGGTGATTCATTAATTTAGTTAATCAGCATCTATTATGTGCTTTCATTATGTAAAGAAAGAGAAGATTCTATAGGGATATGAAAAATAAGTTTGATTTGAAGTCTGACCTCATGAAGCCATGAAAATTTCTCTCCCTTCATCTCTCATCTCTCTCAAATTTGTCAAAGTTATCTAGCCTCTCATTCTTTTCTCCATGTACAAACCTACCCATCTATCTAGATTTAGAGCAAGAAAGCTAGCATTTCTTAAGTTCTCACTGCTGACTGGATATTTTGTGAACTTTTTTAGAAAGGCTAGCTTATTTAAACTGTGGAACAAACTTAAAATGTTATTTTTTTAAGTGTTCATATTAGAAAACAGAACTTTTTCACTTCTAAATCAGATAGGAATTTTGTCTAAAATCTAGTAATGGCCAAAATCTATGTGTTTAATCTTCAAAACTTTGTGTCTAAATGGGATCATTTGCTCAAATAACCATTTTGATCCATTCCTATGTCCAGGTATCAAATAAGCATTTGAAATTAAGTCAAAGCTAGAGTTAATAAATGTGCACTAAATGAAAGAACATCAAGATAAGACAAATACATTGAGTAAACCTCTATTCTTACTTTGTTCAATACTTAACGTACAGTTTCCTATTTAGTTCTTATAGTATTTGTAAAGAGGCAAGTATTGTTTCTTTCACATTTAATAGATGATAACTTTCTTAATGTTAAGCAACCAGCAAATGCAGAGAAGCCTGCATTAGGATGGAAATTGCATGTGGATCTACCTGATGAACCAATTCTTTATACGGCTCAGATAGTGAACAACTTACACAGACTTTTCAACTTTTGAGAAGCAATCAGTAATTGTCTTAGTATACTCTGGGAATCTCTTTGAAATGGAGTGAGAGACACAACTTTATTACTAATTCATTTTACACATATATACAAAATAATTATTTCTCTATTGGTGAAACATAGTAACATTTATTTTGTGTTAACTCAAGCTAATTTCAGTATTAAGTCTTAAATTGTATTACTATGACAGATATCCCCAAAACACAAGTAAATACCTTTAGACAAAAAGAAATTAAGATCCAAATATAAATGAAATTATATGCCATTTTTCTTGTATAATACATCATCATAAAATTTAAGTAGTAGTATATTTTATATTATTAGCTAAATTCTTCCCAGGAAAAGAAAGTACAACTATTTCTTGAAATATATTTTAAAAATAGAAATCAAAAGAAAATCCAAAAATAGCCAGCCCATTTTCAGTAGTAAACATCTATGTTAATGGTTTTCTTTTGGGCATTATCTATCATTTTTTGACATTTACTTTGATTAGCTCATATGGTTCCATTTTTTCTTCCCTAATTTTAATTCTTTTATCCGTATAAAAGTGGTTTTTCAGAGACTAAATTTCATTCGAAGAGATTTTCCTTCTTTCTCCCTTGGATCAACTGGTGGATTCAAACTCCTGGGTTTTGGGTCCGAAGTACAGCACCCTACCCCCTAGGTCACCAGAGTTCCTTATATATAGGAAAGAAAACAATTTCAATATTTTTAAAATTTTAATAGTATGATAATATCATATTCTTTAATCATAAAGAAAATATCAATTTCTAGATATAATTGTTGAGAAATTACACAGAAAATCAACCAAAATATATTTGATAACTTTATTTATTGGACAATGACTAATCATAATATGTTAATATAAATAAATACACTTTCTAAAAAGAATGACCATCTATAGTTGTTTTTTCTAATTTATATTTGGAGGCAAGGATTCTGAAGCTTCATCTGACTTGCTTTGGACATGTTGCATGGAGGAACCAGTTCTTGGAGAGGAACATTATGCTTGGGAGGGTGGAGGGGCAGTGCAGGAGAAGACTCTTGATGAGATGGATGGATTCAGTTACTGGAATAATGGGGGTAGGTGTGTCAGAGATAATAAGATTGGCACAGGATAGAGCAGGGTTTATGGCTGTTGTACAAAGGGACCCTATGAGCCACAAGCAACTCAAGGGCATATAACAAGAGCAACATGTGAGTGAAAGTTTACAAATCATACTGGTTTTTATTCAATCATTTATATAATTTTTTATAACATTGATTAGAATTGATTATGCAATAAATTACAGTGTTTCAACAAACCTTTATTACATATGTTGTTGTTGTTAAGTGCTGTCGAGTCACAGGCGACTCATAGCGACCCTATGAAGGAGAGTCCTTGACGCTTGGGTACCTTTCATCCTCTCTTCAAGTTCATAGGGTTGCCAGAGGCAAGTTATTATGGAAGTGGATGCCACTCCTCCTTCCATGCTTGTTTTAATAGGGGAGCTCCACCCCACTCTCAGTCCGCATTGGGTAGCCAACCATTAACGCATTTGACACATCCATGTCACAGTGTTGAGCCTCACAGCAACCACAAGTGACCTCAGGACAGCAACTTGTACACCAGGGCTATACGACTTAGAGGAATGTCTGAACAAAAACAATGAAAGACTGGCCTGAGGGCCGCGAACTAAAAGTCACCCACCTTTGTCTTGGTCACATCGTTTTCTCTTCACTGGGCCAGCTGATCGATCTCTCTCTTTCTTTCTGACCAAGAGAACTTATTACATATAGATTTATAAATTTAAAGTTCCAGACTGTTTTAAGTATTTGCTGTCTGGTTGCTTCTGGCACATG